AGGAAGACAGATTTCCAAAAGGAAGGACAGGGAGCAATAAGGCTTTTACAGAGTGCAGCCTTGAACCCATGGCTAATCTCATAAGTATTATAAAAGGTCACTTTTTCATCTAATTAACAAAACCATTTGTACTCCCCCCAGTCTAATTGAATACCATGATATCATCCTAATTCAAAGCAGGTGAAACCCAGGCACACAAACAGATGGCTGAGAGCCAATTTCAAGGTTAGCCAACCCTGACTCCCATTTGAAACAAACCCTCTAGCACTGTATACCTTTTCTACATCTGTGTGGAGCTTGGCTCCACTGTTATAAATAAAATGAACAGGAGGAGCAAGTAGGTAAATCTACAGGATCTGGTTCTAAAATAGTGTTTTCTCACAAGAGGAAGGAAAGAGTGAGGCTGGTGCACACCGAGGTAGAAGGAACTCAACCAACAAAGTGATCCTGCAGTCTGAATTCCACCTAAGATTCCTCCCTGATCTCCACTGAACAAGTCATGGAGCACATACAGATGGCAGAAGGGCTTGTGATTTAACCAGGCCTAATCCCCTGCCTGGGGCCTCTCTGAGCACAGAAGGAACCAACACTTCTCAACATTAGCCAATTAGAACATTTTCGTATTTTCTTCTTCCACTGGCACCTTCACCACACATTTACACTCTAAAGTATGAAGGTTGTCTTAGTATATTTCTTTTTTTCTTTATTTAACTGATGTGTAAAACACATAAAAAAACCACATTATGTTTCAATACATTGTATAATGTTTAAATCAGGTTCAACATACCTATCTCCTCCAACATTTCTTTATTAATTCTTTATGACAAAAACATTCAGAATCCTTTCTTCTAGGTTTTGAAATATACAGTAAATAATTTTCTCATCTATCTATATATCTAATCAAGACCCAGAAAAAAAGATCTCATCTCTGCATATGTCATATCAAATCATAAAATGCTTCTGGGGAGCAGCAGGACTGGCCTCCTCTTATACCCTGGTTCCTCTCAGGATCCATTCCTAGGGGTCAGTTCTCTTCTCCTTCCATAGGCTTGCCTGAGGACCCTGCCATACCTGACACCTCAGCAGGTTGTACCTCAAACTCTCTGACCTGGTGTTCCTTTCTCTTGTTTTCCCATTATCCTTCTCTTTCTCCACCCACAACCCCTGCCCCATTCTCCGCCCTCTCACTGCTATTCCAGTTATCTTCCCCAAACAACTACGGACTTGTCGCTCTTACTGCCTGCTGCTCCATCAAAAGAGCCTAGCATGTAACTCCTCCATAACAGCCTATCTTCCTGCCCATCTATAAGCTACTCATGTCCTTCCACTCCATGCTAGAAAAAGGCCATATGGAAACCCAGGACTCTATCCAAAGTAAATGTATGAAGACAGGAATTGGTGTCAACACACTTTATATACAACCAGAGATATGAAAAATTGTACTGTATACATGTAATAAGAATTGTAATGCATTTCGATGCCATTTATTTTTTTTTTAAATCAATAAATAAAAAAATAAAATAAACCTAGGACTCTAGGTCTTTCATAGACTGTGCTATGACACCTGCTCACTTCCTGGAATACCCACCCCCCATATAAACAACCTCCTTTTTCCTTCAACTGACCCATGTCACAAGCCACATCCTCTCTGAAAACTGTCCTGAGTCCCCAGGCGACATCACAGATCCCTTCTCCCACATTCCTGCTTATTTAGGATGGGTCACTAGTCTGTATTCACTTAGTGTCTTGCTGCCCAAGACACACCCCAGCCCCTCCATACACCTTGATGTATTATTTCATTAGTAAAATGATTTTTTGTGCAATTATTTCTCCTCTAGCCCCTCTAAAGTCGTCTTCACTCATATCTTTAATAGAGATGAGATCCAACAATTGACAACTTTAATCCTTTTGGTCAAGCCAGGGTTATCCATATTTACCAGTTTGCAAGAATGACCAGGGAGTACATTACAAATAAAGATTTTGGGGCCCTACACAAGGCAGTATCCTGAATTGGACCCCATATGGGAGTTGTCGGTATTTGCAATTTTTTTAATATTTATTTTTTAGTTGTAGTTAGACACAGTACTTTTATTTTATTTATTTTTATTTTCATGTGGTGCTGAGGATCGAACCCAGGGCCTCGCACATGCTAGGTGAGAGCTCTATCACTGAGCCACAACCCCAGCCCTTTGCATTTGTTTACAGCAAGGATTACAGATAGTTCATTTTATGTGTAATTTTACTATATATATTAGTTATATATAAACTCAATGCCTTTATTTGTTTTTTTATATGGTGCTAGGATCAAACCCAGTACCTTACACTTGCGAGGCAAGTGCTCTACCACTAAGCTACAACTCCAACTCTGTAGTGTATTTTTGTTTTTGTTTTGCTTGCTTGTTTTGGGGGTGCTGGGGATCGAACCCAAGTCCTCACACATGCTAGACGAGTGTTCAACCACTGAGCTGCACTACACCCCCACCATCTACAGGTAATTCTTATATGGACTTGACTTAGAGGACACTTTGTCTCCTAAGGAAAAGCAGCAACATGACAGATTTTATTAACCACTTATAGCTTAATGTGATCTGTGCACCAAAACCCCTTGCTAAAAAGTTTCTAATGAAGGGGGTACAGAAAAAGAAAACACCATGGAACGTGTCTAGTTTTGATTTTTGCAAAACATTATCTGAATTTGGGTCAATTTTACATCCATAAAACCTCCGTAATCAAACTATTTATCTTTACCTAACAAAGTGGCTCCCACAGGCAGATCTTTCACTAACTCTACCACATGCTATGCAATGTCTAAGAAGTCTGTCCTTCTGGTGGTTAAATGCTGGTAATACAAGGTATAGATCTAAATATGGAATTTTATTACTATATAAGAACAAAGTCAAGGTGAATAGATATTTTACACAAAGCTGTTTAAAGATAAATTATAATATCTGTAGTCCACTTTTTAAAAAGGTCTCTCTTTTAATCAGGGAATGCAACATTACAACTGTGCTTATGTGCACCTGGGTTTTTTTCCCCCCATAAAGAAAAAAATTTTTTATTTGGGTTAAAATTTCAAAAAATACTTAAGTGCAGGCCTGGTGTGGTCTAATTGTGTTGGATTTTGTAAATGTTGTCATTAATTTTGAGACTAATTTCTCTTCTTTCTTTGACTGCCTGCATAATAACTTCACTGAAAAAAATTTTGTACCCTTATGTTCAGCAATTTATCCTTAAAGATATATTGCAAAAAAGGCAACACACAGAGAAATCGGTGATACACCAAAATACTTTTTAGTCCAACTTCTTTGAAGTATATTTATTTTAACCACCATTTCTCTCCCAAACAGCAGCTTTGCTGGGTTTGAATGTCTGTTTAGAAGGTTGTTTGGCCCCAACACCCTGTGCTCTGAATTCCCCCTCTCCTTCCAGAAAAACACTAGTAGAAGAAGAGAGGAGACTACTAGAAGAGGTCGATGGAAATGGATCAGACTATGAAGAATCAAACTTCCAAATCTCCACTTGGACATCTACACCTCTGACATCAGACCTGTCCAAATCACAACACACTCACATCCACTCCCTCCCATTTCCTCGTTCTCAATGGAAGGCACCACTAACTGCTGAGGTTTAAAATCCAGGAATCTTCCTTGATTTCTCTTCTCTCCAAAACCAACTTATCAGCAAAGTCATTCAATGCACATACAAAACTAAACCCCAGTCTGACACCTCAACTCTGCTGCCCAGCTGTTCATGCACCGAGGACTGTCAGATAAATACAGGACACTCAGATATGCTGGAATTTCACATAAACAGCAAATCATTTTGCAGTATATACATCCCCAAAATTTCATGAGACATAGTTAATTATACTAAAAGGAATCTGTTGCTTACAACTTAAGTTTAACCTGGCTGCCTGTATTTTTATTTGCTAAATCTGACAGATGCTCGCGCATTCCCTGCATGTCTGAACCTCTACTAATGAAAACTCTCTCCCAAGGGGTGAAGATGCAGCTTAGTGGTAGAGCACTTACTTGCCTAGCCTGCCTGAGGCGCTGGGTTCAATTCCCAGTACTGCAAAAAATAAGTAAATTAATTAAATAAAACCCCTCATGGTTTTCTTCAGAATTTGGAATAAGATTCAAGTTCTTTATCAAAGCCATCAGGGTCTTTGGATGGAGAGGGTGAGAGAGGATGGCAGGGGCCCTGCTTACCTCTCCAACTTTTCTCACCCTCTGACCTCAGCCACAAACCATTCTTTCTTCTCTAAAGATGTCCAAGCTTTTAGTCCTCCTCAGGACCTTGCTGTGCCCTTGGTCTAGAACCCTTTCCTCCTCCTTGAGATGACAGTTCAAAGCCCCCACTACCAGTCAAGTTAAGTAGCCTCCCAACACGCACATGCCCTCTATTCCTTTACCGACTTTATTCCTCAGACCCTTTAATCTAGTCTGAGTATTTATTCGTATATTGCCTTTGCATTGCCACTGGCAGTGCATGCACATCATAGCAGAGTAGTGACTCTTGTTCCAGAGAACTCAGAACTTCTCAATATCTATTGGCTGATAAATTAATAACTAAGTTTCCCATCTGTAAAGTCAGATTTCTTGAAATTCTAAACATTCTTTCCCTTTGCATTTCCAATTTTTAAAGTAATCTGCTGACATCCCTAAAGAATCTTTCCTGCACCAAATTCAGACTTAGTTCCACCAAGTAGTGAATGCAAATTTCCACCCGTTGCCTGGTGGTGCTGCCATTCCTAAGAGTTCCAAATCATCAGAAGCCTCATCTCAAGTCTGCACAGAAGTGATAGATGATGCAATTAATTACTTGAGTGTTTCATTGCATTTTTTAAAAATATGTTTTTAGTTGTAGATGCACACAAAACCTTTATTTTATTTATTTTTATGTGGTGGTGAGGACGGAACCCAGTGCCTCACACATGTGAAATGAGCACTCTATCACTGAGCCACAACCCCAGCCCCTACTTCATTGTATTTTTTTTTCTAAATATGGAAGGCTTCATGAATTTGGGTGTCATCCTTGCACAGAGGCCATGCTAATCTACCCTGTATCATTCCAATCTTAGTATATGTGCTGCCAAAGCAAGCACTGCTTCATTGTATTTTAACCTTGCAATTTGAAAAACCTTGTAGAAAGCCAAAAACCAAGGTGTTGGTATGAATGCAGAGGTGCCATAAACCTAATTCAACTGCAACAAGCTAAAAATCACAAGTGAGCTGAAAGAAGGGGCCCGTTTGTCTTAAGCAAAACACTTTTTTAACTTAAACTGATAGCTTTATTGTGAAGAAAAGAAGTAAAAATGAAGACCAAGGATAAAATGCTGAACATATATTGAAAATTATGTCTGACTTTGAACCTACAATTATAAGGTATAAACAGCTTAGCTGACAGGGAATGGTAGCCCTTATCATGTGTAACTCTATTTTTGGCTTTCAGGCTTAGGAGGTAAGGAGTTGCCTGTGAATCACCACTGCACAGCTAAAAACCCATGTGACCGGGTCCTTGAGCAGCATGCAATAATCCAGGATTTATAATCCTCCTATTTTTCTGGGAAATGTTGGAACCTCCAAAGAAGTAAAAATTGAAGTTTTAGTTTCAACTCTTATGAGATAAGAGAATAAAAACTTTGCAGTGGTCATCCAGCCCTTGATGTTGTTTAGATGGACCATTTTCAGACAGGGCAGGAAGCCATCAGGCACAGGAGGAAGGGAAGATTATAAGTTGTGATTTTGTGTGTTGGATCTCATAAGCTGAGTCCTGCAAGAAGTGGGGGGGTAGGGAGACAAAACCAATATGATATACAGAAGCCAACAGTTCCAGAAATGTTATACTAAATGCTCCGATTTCAGGACTCCAAATTCTCAAAGTGTGTCAAGCCATTTCACACAGGTAATTGTGCAAAACATGGGCACACAACCTTCTCTAGGGAAACCATAAATACAGCAAGTCAACTTCTGCTGTTGGGATCATCTGACATTCAGCATGCTTCTCAGAACTCCTTCCTCACACCGAGAGCCAGGGACAGGAGGATGCCCAAGACATTGTCCACCTTCCTCCCTCAAGAGCTCAGGGAACAGCAAGAGAAACAGGTAAATTGAAGGGAACACTAATGAGACACAGCATGTGCAACCACAGAGGTACATCAACACACTCTGGGCCACAGATCAAAGCAGACAGCCAAATGTCAGAATCAGCCTGATGGAAGCACAAGATTAGCCTCTCAGTTCAGGCTAACTGAATCTCCTCATCTGACATTATTCTTAGTTGTTTTTTTTTTTTTTTCCACTGAGGCAATATTGATAGACTGTTCTGGACACAGATGGTGGTAATATTTGCAGAACAGTGTGGCTGCATGTAATGCTATCGAACCACACACTTAAAAATAGTTAAAATGGTACATTCTATGTTTACAACAATGAAAAAAAATTCTAAAAATGGATTTTTTTTTTATCCTCCAAAATGTATATACAGTGAAAGGCACAGAACTTAACTCTCCCTGAAATTAGTTTTGATAGATGTACCCCCACATATACCCATCTTCCAAAATAAGACCCTCATTCCTATCCCCTCATGTTACCACTGTGCCCCCTTCTAAGTCACCTCCCCCACAGGTCCCCATCCTTGAACTTCATACAAGCTATAGCCTTTGCTGTCTGGATTATTTTTGCTGAATGTAATGTTTTTGAGAGGAAACCAGTTGTTGCATAGAGCAGCAGCTCTTTCTGTAGCTGAGTCGTAGTATTTCATTATATTGGAATATCAAAATTCATTGAGCAGGTTTTTTTTTTTTAATTAAGCAATTTACTGACCAAGAAAATTTTGGATAGTTCCACAGTTCTTTTTTCTTTTCTTTCTTGCTTTTTCTTTCTTTTCTTTTGTTTTTTTTTTTAATAGTATGACTAAGTACATGTTCTTTTGTGGACATCCATTTTCACTTCTCTTGCATAAGCACCTACGAGTGGAATTCCTTGATTGTGACAGAGACATCTGTTGAGTTTTACAAGAAACTGTCTAAAGGCTTCCTGCAGTAGCTGTACCTATTTGCACGTTGGTCTTCCCACGTCCTCACCAGCATTAGGCATTTTTTGTTGAGAGATAGCAATGTCTCACTGAGCAAGTATTTGTGATAGAAAGAGGGAAAAAAAAATTCTCAGGGGCAGGTTATTGGCTTCTTCGAGGGCTACTCCTTCCCTTTCAGGCAGGCTGGATTATACTACTTTCAAAGCTGGAATTTTACATAAAGTTCATTTCTTTCTTTCTTTCTTTCTTTCTTTCTTTCTTTCTTTCTTTCTTTCTTTCTTTCT